TCCTAAAAGGAAATACTCAAAAACAGCCAAGAAATTACCTGTATCACCCTTATTCCATACAAAGGAGAAACTAAAGTCAATTTACTGTACTCTTTATAGTAATGTAGATAGGACTAGGCACCCAGGATTTAGCAAACTTGCAAAACCACCCTGCCTAGAAGCCTGACTGGAAAGGGTAGAAAGCCATTGGCAGAACCCAGTGAGCTGCGGCTTGGGAGAGGGGGCATCCAAAGAAGTGCCACCCTAGGTAGAGACAGAGTCCCTGCTCAGTCACAGGTAGCTGATGGGGAGGACAGCAAATGGCCACACCCCTCCATCTCCAGCCAATGCCTTTCATTGGAAAAACAAAACCCCAAGGAACAGAGCCAGACTAAGGTAATCTACAAAGGTCAACCTCAATCTCTAAAGATCATTGCCTTGGGCACAGAAAAGATTAGAAACTAGATTTGGAACTGCCTTGCAGTTGCTGCTGCTGCGGGGTGTGACTAGGTTAGACTGCTAACCTGAGCTCACTGGCTGGATTTGATGGCCAGCTCTGGAGTCCCAGCAGTTAGGGCTGACTGCTGCCCTAGTGCCAGCTACAGGGTGAGAGGTCCCTGGCAAGCCAGGTGCCAGTCTCAGCATGCAGCCTACAGGCCAGCCCCTAGGGCTCTGACAGCATCTGCAACACAGCAAACTCCAGGCCAGTCTGATGGGTTCTGACAGAAGCTGACGCCCTTACACCTAAGGCCCCTGGTTGAGTGTCTGGCCCTGCTGAAGGCCCCGCTGAAGGTATTTCACTTATGAACATGACACTGGAATTACAAACGGACCAATCAGATGTAAGCTCTCATGGGGGCCATTCAAGATTTTTGAGACCATTCAGGATTGTAAATGGATCAATCTGATTGGAACTTGACTACCATCAATCAAACAGCTGAAATTGTAAATGAGCCAATCAAGAGGGAAGAATATATAAGCATAGAAGTAGCCACTTTGAGGGATGGCTTCATATCAGCTGGCTTCAGATCAGATTCACAGGGACTCCTAGAAAGACCTTTGCAGACAAATTAATAGGGAAGATTCTTTGGAACAGATACCTTTATTCACACAGACCTTCACTGGAACCTTCATTGGAACAACCTGATGTTATCTGCAGAGAACTCCATTGGCCTGTGCTTGGTGTCTCCAAAAGAGCTATTTACTGTTGGTTTATGCCAGCACCTCTAAGAACTGTTTGTCATTGGCACAACTGCCTTTCTAAGAGTTGTAACACTGGTACCTGTTCTCTGACACCATCATCTGCTAACTGGTGCTGATTAGCCCTACTGACCTGTGACTGGCTCAGCTTACCAGAGTCTGGCCACCTCTGCAAGCTGTCCACAGCTTCTGATTCTCCTGCACTGCCTCCTGGTGCTCTTCCATGTAGCACCACCTGGTCCAGCATCCAGTGCTGTCCACTCAGCCTTTGGAGTGCTGCAGAATCACCTTGACAGTCCCACTTCTGATCACCTCTGGCTGCCACCTTGAGTTTGATCCCAGTTCTCACTTACCAGTGTGCTGTCAGCTCCAAAATCTCATTGAAGGAATGGTGCCATCTTGCAAGAGCAGCCTTTGCTTTAGACTACTGTACAATGCAGGCACTATCAGGGTAGGACCACCAGCCATTCGTGGCCTCAGAAACGCTTTCCATTTTCAGCCATGGCAGTGTGAGAAGTGGCCTTGCCTCCTCTGTAATCATGTCCAGACGACACACAAGACAGAACACCAGAGAGAGCCCAGAGAAAAAGCGTCAAGACTCACTGAGGGCTGAGAGGCTGGGTGCCTGCCTGTCTCCTTCCCAGCCTCCCAGGTGTCCGTGCCAGGCCCGTGCTGCCGCCTTGCACGCCAGCCTCCCTGCTGTTGTGCCTGTGTGCCTGGGTCCCTGAGAGAGCACTGGAGCCAGTAAGATCCACGGAGGGCTCTAAGACTCTTCTTTATCCGTTTGTTCAAATCAAGTGATTGCTGGCACTCGAGATAGTCTCCTTAATAAACGGTGTTGGGGACCTCCCTGGGGGCACCAAGGGTTGCATCTCAGCACTATGGAGCTGCCAGCAGCCACTGCAGCATGAGTTCGATCCTGGCTAGGAGCTGACCCATGTGACGCAGCAGACCTCCCCTGTCTCCCTGCTGCTCCCCTCAGCAGTGTATATCAGTCAATCCTCCTGTTCCACTCCCCACTCTGCCTCTGGTGAATCCTCTCAGCCCCTGCAATTCTGGCCTGTACCCCAGTTCTTGTGTGCATAAATAAACTAATCTTTAAAAATAAATAAATACATGATATTGGGAGAAGTCAATGTCCTCCTGGGAAAGAATGAAGCAAACCCATATCCCACACATCCCAGAAGTCAACTCTTGATTTGAGTTAATCTGTTTTTCTAGAGAACATGGTGTCCTTTGATGAAAGCTCAGAAATTCTACTGAACATAGACCTGAAACTAAAAATTCCTAGAAGAAAACAAAGGGCATAAGCCCCTTGACACTCATTGTAGCAATGACTTTTTTTATTTGACAACAAACGCAAAAATAAAGAAATGGAACTACATCAAGCTAAAAAGATTCTATATAGCAAAAGACACCATCACAGAATTGAAAGGCAGTTTATAGAATGGGAGAAAATATTTGCAACGCATGTATCCAGTAGGGTTGAAATCCAGAAAAAGCAAGGAACACAAAGCCAATAGGAAAACAAAACAAATCAAAAGCAAATGGTTCAATTAAAAGTGAGCAAAGGATCCAAATAGGCATTTTTCCAAAGAAGACAAATAGGCAAATACATGAAAATTTGTTTTATATCATTACTTACCAGGAAAATGCAAATCAAATTCACCATAACATAATCACCTCACTCCTGGGAGGACACTCAAGAGATGAGAGGTCAGTGCTCGCAAGGACGTGGACAGAAGGGATGCATAAGACACTTTTGGTGGGAATGTAAACTGGTGTCGTCACTGTGGGAAATAGCATGGAAGGAGGCGAGGAAGGAGGAGGTGAGCAAATAAGCAGGCAGTGAGCATCAGGGTGCCCCAAGCCCACTAATCAAACTAAGTGAGGAACAAGTAGTTGGAGTCAGGGGGCCCTGACCTAGTGAAAAATTGAATGTCCAGAACACCAGCACACCACCACAATGCACTGGACCAAAGCTCGTTTCAGGAAAGCAGGCCAAGTAGCCAGGGAGACTCAGTAAACCCCAGAAACCTAGGAGGCCTCACGGGCTTCAACCACTCATCAAGAGATGCAATGCAGGATGCCCATTGGCCAAAATGCCCTACTCCTTGCCCACCATCCCCAAATAAACACCTACTTCTTGTTTCCTTGTCTACCCATTCAGGACCCCTCTTTGCTCAGAGCGCTTTCCTGTCCTTCTCTGACAATAAATCTCTTTCTTTTCTGCCTAATTTTGGTCTTTATGTTGAATTCTTTCATCACCAAGACAAGAATTGAGAGCCTTCTGGGGTCCAGTTCCCAAGCCCCTCCAAGCCTATTTAGAAGTTCTCAAAAAATTAAAAGGAGAGTTGATATATGATTCAGCAATTCCACTTCTGGATATATATAGCCAAAGGAAACACCATCACCTTGAGGGCATAACTGTATTGCATGTTCCCTGCAGCACCACTCACAATAGCTAAACAACTGAGCTTTGGTCCAGTGCATTGTGGTGGTGTGCTGGTGTTCTGGACAGTTCTGGAAACAACTGAAGTGTCCATTGACAGGGGCTAAAGTATTTGCCTTAACTTTAGACTTTTTGTCCTCCAAAAATCTTGTGGATACGGCTTCCAGAAGCATCTCTGGTCAGGTTTATGTTTCTGCTCATGACTGTATGGTGACATTTGGTTGTTTATTCATCTGTGGGTCTCCCACTTTTTACTGGCCGAGTTTTGGCAGCAATGTGCTTAGTTTCAGAGGATGAATCATGATCATCTAATCAGGACATATGATCCAGTTCTGGGACAGAAGGAGAAGTCTACCAGAGTTAAAAAATAAATAAATAAATAAATTTCTCCTTGGCAAAAGAAAGACATGGGAAAATAAAACCCACTCTGCTCCTTCTTTTTTTTGTTTCTTTGGATACGGTGGTGTTAGGGTGTGCTGGGAGGAGCCCGCGCATTCACACTAGCTGCAAAGTGAAAAACCTGGCCTGCGGATGGCATTAAAATGCTGAGGACAATGGAGAGAAGGGGAGGAAATGGCCTGGAATTGGAAGACATCACTAAGCTGCCCCATTCAGCTCAGGACTCCCTTAGACATTGCCTAAATAACAAAGTCCTCATGGTTTATACCATTGTAAGGCAAGCAGTTGGTAGCATACATCTCTAAGTGCTCCCCAAAGACCCATGTGAAGACAATTTCAACTGTTGTTGTCGCGGGCACTGATGCTCGGACACAGTTCTAGTTGGAGAAAGGAGGGTCACTGCACTAGTGCCCTCTGTCAGCCAGAGGGCAGGGCTGGCTATTCAAACTCCTGTCTGGGCTGACCCTCTCGTGCCACAAGTGACACGATATATTTGTTGAGTAAACGAGTGAATGGCATTAAGTTGTTTCACGAAGAGCTAAATGCACACCTATTACAGGGGAAGAGTTGGATGGGGGCAGAAACTATAAGGACTTAAATATTGGATTCATTTTGATGTAATGATGAGCAGCCGGCTGAGGCCCTGAGGGCAAAGGGCAAGTATAGCTCTACAGGACCCCTAACAGAAGGATCCTGGCAGGTGTGAGAAATGGGGATCTCCATGGGATTGGGACAAGGCAAGGCAATCCATCAGCGCGCAGGTTCTTGGCTGGCATCCCAAGGGTTAAGAGCAACGAGATCCGGCCATTCGTGTTTCCTAGAGAGGCTCTGCAAAGCCACCAGGGGACCACAAGGTAACTTCCGGTGCCTGTCTTCCGGGTTGGAGAGTTTAGGACCCGGGGCTGGTGGGTCAGGAGGAGCCCGGGCTCCATCCGCTGGGACAGCTGGGCCGGCAGGGGGTGCAGGGCGCCTTGTGTGTAACTCCCACAACAGTGAGTTCCTTCTCCCGGGGAAAGGGAGCCGAGGGCTGCGGGCAGGAGGAGAGGAAGCCGCGGCGCCCTGGCTGCCAGGTCCATCCCGGAGGCGGATCCGGCCGCTGCGAGGGGCGGAGGCCCTGGAGCCCCGCCACCCACCGCGCCTGCCCGGACTGGGCGTGCCGTTGAGGGTCTGGGCCGCTGGGACTTCACCCCTCGGGGCTCCCAGCCTGTGCTCCCAGAGAGCGCTGCCTGAATGAACTTACTTTGGAAGACTTTCTAGTCCAAAGCACTGCCCATCCTACTCACCCCTTTGCTCTAGGGCCCTGAAAACAGCTCTTGCCCAATAGAGTGACATCATTCTTTATTTTGTACATTTTTCCATCTCGGGTGTAATCCCCGCGGACTTCCCACTGGAGCTATATCTCAAGGACTCATTGTAATACTGTGTATAACCCTGAGCTTGCTACCGGTTTTGCTGAGCCAGTGTTTCTGGGAGCTCCTCGATCAAAATCAGTAATTTCTTAGCAAGGAAAATGGTGACAAGTTGTATCTGTTACTCAGATTTTTGCTTCCTTTGTAAAGACGGATAGACTTCTGTAATTTAGCAAAGAGAGTATTGGTGAGGATGTTTAGGGAATGTCAACTCTCTCTGGTAATAAGATATAGGGATGCAAATCTGCTTTTTAAAAATCCAGTTAGTATGGTATGAGATAAAGTTCCTCGCTGAGGAGCATCAGCTTGTAGTTAGTTGTGCCCAGCTCTACTTGCTTCTCTAGTTTACTGGAATAGATAAGAGTGTGAAAGTCTGTCCAAACAGGCTGGGGAGTGAATCTTGCTCTACCACTCTCTGTAACTATGGAAAAGTTTCTTAATATCTGTATTGCTCATCCATAGCGTGCTGGTCATTGTTCGAGATCTCAATAGAGCTATTGTGAGAAGTAAGCGAGAAATCAGTATGAAGTGTTTAATTACTGCCTGGCACATATCGGGCAGTGATAGGGTGGGAAGTCTAAGCACACCACTGTTTGTTTTCCCTGTGCTTGCCTTTATGTAATAGCTGCCTCGTCAGCTCTCATTCTCCCTCCTCCCGTCCCCACCCCTCCCCAGTCCCCACCCCCATGCTATTCCTTATATTCTGAAATGGATGCCAAGTCCATAAATAACCGGTGACAGATCACATTTTGCAGTTGTGTAGTTTGTCAGGGATTGTAGTTGACTCCAGAAGATGAAAGTTCAGGTTGGGATTCTGTGACTTTGATTGACATAGTAAGAAGGAAGGAAAAAAGTCCCTCATTATCTTCTTCTCTATGATTAGGAATTACTGGCTATAATTATTCTAGCCCACCTCCCCCTTATCCTAATGTCTTTTTATTGGCTATGTAAGTCATAACTTTCTTTTGAATTGGCTTTAAAGTTTTCATCCTCTGTCAAGGACAAGTTATTCTAATCTAAACAGGGTGCTTTCTCTTTAGCTGTTTCTTATACTTGAGTGTAGAGTCAATTTTTTAATTGAAAATGCTTTTTTAATTAAAAAGCATTTCTAAGCTCCAAGTTGGACAATGAGTGTTAGTAGTTACTCTGTTTTGAAACTCAATACTCAAACTTTTATGTGAAATTTCAACTCTTTTTTTTATTATTTCCCCAGAGAATAGAAATCTGGCTAACCCGTAATTCTAAACACTTGCACCTGAGATCAGGTTTTCTAAGAGGATTTCTGAAAACCATTTTTCTCATTTTTAGTATGATCCACAAAACATTTTATATTGACAATTGCTATGTTGCAGTGGTTGGAAAGGAAGGAAGAATACTTTAAAAAAAAAAAAAATGCCTGCAACCATAACCTGTTTCCTTCCACAGGATTTCTAATAAAATCCCTTACTTAACTGATTCATTGTGATGGAGCAGGAGCAAAAACTGTTGGTCTCAGATTCAAATGGCTTCATGGAGGAGAGTTTGCAAAGCTCTTTTACAGGTAAGATGATCTAAAACCTTTCAAAGTTATATGATAAGCTATTGAACAAAGCATTAGAATGAGACAAACTTTGATTTTAAGTTAAGCTAACTTTTACAGCCTGTTTTCTTATCTTTGAGAAAGTACATATCTCATTTTTTTAGGGTTAATGAGATACTATATGCAAAGCTAATATTTTTAATAAATAATAAGTATCATTTTCATTTCTATATTTGCTCAGATTTTAACTAAGGTAACAAAACACCAATTTTCATTTCACAATATGTCCAATTTCTTTTCTACACAGATCCTCCCTTTTTTCTTGTAAGTGTTCTAGAATAAAGTTGAATAAACTTATTTTTAGATTGATATCCCCCTTGGTAACTGTTTAAATACTTAGTATTGTTACAAAGTGTAAAAAATCTTACCAGCTTCTAATGAACACTTAGAATAAAAGAAGTAAAAGACGCATTATATTGCAATTCAGAATTTCCTTCTGGTAGCGATAGAGTATATTTAGAATATTTGTTGTTCTTGCAGGAGATGAAAGTAAGAATAATTTGGAAACTGTTCAACATAACCTTAAGGCAGATAAAGAGAGCGCCTCACAGTGGTCTAAAAGAGAAGTGCCACAAAAGTGTAAGCTGGAGGAGACAAAAGAAATGCCACAGACAAGGTCTCATGGAACTGAGATATGGCCTGGGGATTCCTATGAGGATAATGGTGGGTCAGAGAATCAGAGAAATTCTATAGGACAAAAGGAGGGAAAACCCAGTCACTGGGGATATGACCCAGGTGAGCACACTAGTGTCTCTGTCCAACAGATTTCACCTGTCAGAGACAAACCCTACAAATGTTCCGAATGTTGGAAAGGCTTTAATAATAGTTCTCATTTGCGTGCTCACCAGAGGACTCACTCAGGAGAAAAACCTTATAAGTGCTCTGAGTGTGGGAAATGCTTTAGTAACAGCTCACACCTGATTCAGCATGTGAGAACACACACAGGGGAGAAGCCCTACCAGTGTGGTGAATGTGGAAAAAACTTCAGCAATACCTCCCATCTCATTATCCATGAGAGAACTCATACGGGAGAGAAACCCTATAAATGTCCCGACTGTGGGAAGAGTTTCAGTAGCAGTTCTCACCTTATTCAGCATCACAGATCACATACCGGTGAAAAACCATATGAATGTCCGGTTTGTGGGAAATGCTTCAGCCACAGTTATGTCCTAATAGAACATCAAAGGACTCACACCGGAGAAAAACCATATAAGTGCCCTGATTGTGGAAAGAGTTTTAGTCAGAGTTCTAGCCTTATTCGTCACCAGCGGACACACACAGGTGAGAAGCCCTACAGATGTCTGGAGTGTGGAAAACGCTTTGGTTGTAATTCAACTCTATTAAAGCATCAGAGAATGCACACAGGAGAAAAGCCCTATCAGTGTACAGAATGTGGGAAACATTTCAGCCGAAGTTCAAATCTTGTTACACACCAGAAAACACATACAGAAGAGAAATCCTATGAAAGTTCAGAATATGAAGAAAGTTGGAGTCAGAACTTCAAGGTGACAGAAGAATGCAGAATCCAGCCAGGAGAGAAACCATATAAATGTTGTGAATGTGGAAAGAGTTTTGGCCTCAGCTCCCATCTCATTAGACATCAGAGAACACACACAGGAGAAAAACCGTACAGATGTTCTGAGTGTTGGAAAACCTTTAGTCAGAGTTCCACTCTGGTGATTCACCAAAGGACTCACACAGGAGAGAAACCTTATAAGTGCCCTGACTGTGGCGAGTGCTTCAGTCAAAGCTTTAATCTTATTAGGCACCGGAGGACCCACATAGGAGAAAAGCCTTACAAATGCACTGACTGTGAGAAATGCTTCAGCAGAAGTGCCTACCTCACTCAGCATCAAAAAATTCACATGGAGAAATCTTTTGAGTTTCCTGAAGCAAAAGGTTTTCCTCATAGATGGACTTGGAAAAACCATTCAGGGGAAATGACTCTCATCTCATCATTCTCAGTCCCCAATTCATCTTCCTCTTGAGGTTTTTTTTTTTTTCCTTTCCTTTTCTTACCAGACCATTGCGTTTAAGATGTTCTCTGATATGGTCACACCAAGTCTCTTTGGTTTGTTTGCCAAAACTGCTGGAAAAAGTCAACCTCCCAGCTTAGAGGATGGGAAGATCCAGGTCAGCAGATTATTAAATCTGTCCAGTGAGAGATACTGCCAAGGATGGAGAACAAGAACTTTTTTGAAGTTTAAGGTAAGGTAGCTTTCAAAAGAAGGAAAATCCCAGTAATAAGGGTAGCTGAGAGCTTGAAGCCAAGGTTGCAATTGAATTTCCTTATTTTCTCGTATCTGATTGAATGCTGATAAGTCAGAACTAGACTCAGGGATTTACCCAGAGAAAGATTTTTGAACAAATTACATGATTTTCTATGTTATTGCGTCTTAAAGGAAAAAAGCTGGTTTTTTTTTCCAAATTCATTTTTGCTAAAAATAACTTTTTTATTATATAAGAACTGTACTAATTGGATAGCTACCAGCCACAAGTGGCTATTTAAATTTATATTAAGATGAAATTTAAAATTTAGTTCCTTAGTTGCGCAAATCACTTTCTGAGTGTTTAGTAGCCACAGGTATGGAGGCTGTATTGGATATCATGGCATACAATTTTTTTTTTTCTAAGGTCAGTACTCTTGAAATGATAAAATTTTCATGAAAGCCTATGGGTTTCATGAAAGCTGTGGGTTTCTGCTCTTAAGAACTATAGTATAGAGTAGACATGGGATAGAGTTTTGAAGGCTCTGGGTCAAGATACTATTCTGATGATTCTATATTTTATGTTCAACCATCTCGTCATCTAGTGATATATTCCCATGGTTTTGGCAAAAGTCAAAATAGGAGGCAGGAGTCTTGCACTCTCTGAAAATTTTTGATAATAGTTCTTTCCTCTCAGTTTTCTCGTTACATAATCCTAATCATATCATTAATTCTATATTTTTTCCTAATAATTAACCCACTGAATCCAAGCCTACGTGTAGGGACAGTTTGTCCCTAGAGAGCAAGACTCCTTAGTTTCAGCCTCAAAAGTTGTCCTTTGTCATTTGTTTTATATGGTGCATGGATCCCATAATTGAGACCTCCTCCACTCAGCTGTCTACAGAGTGATGGTTTCTAAAGAATTAAGATATTTCTCATGCCCCAATTTTTTTCTTCTAGTGTGAAAGGTAGCAAGTAGGAAGGCCAACCCTACTGAAGTACTCAGGATTTTGTCTCATTTTGAATTCAAAATATATTTTATGTAGTGGCCCAGATTAGTACTCTGAAGCCAGAAAGTATCAATTACAGCTTCTAGAAAGGACTCTCACTGGTGGGGCACTGAGTGTCATAGGGATTATTTCTTCTTTCATGATTATGGTGCCTTTTTGTATTCTCGCAGTTAAACAGTAAAGCAAAAGCTAGCACATGAAAGGATTTAAGAAGTATTGGGATGATTTTCTGCTTTTTGAAAGGGGGAGAACATTCTTGGGCATCACATTTTCATGGCCCTTATCTAAGCATCTTGTTTACCTTTCTGTAGGATTTACTGTTGCCCAAATTGTCTTAACCTCTTATATCTGAGGTTAAGATTTTACAGTATTTTCTTAAACTTTAATCAGGAGTTTGATGAATGTTTAATATTTAATGTTGGGTAGCTGCTGTTGAAGCAGAAATCTAAGTCAGTTGCTGTGCTGGTGGTACACGATGGTCATTCTCAATGTGTGGCAGGCAGCCACTTGGAGCCTGTTTCCTCATCTGGAAAGCAGACATTGCCCACTTGCCAGGTTTTCTGTAAGAATTACATGTAGCTGGTATCAGCCTATCACTTAACAAGGTTGAAAAAACTGCCTCAGTTCCTTGCTGAACAGGCAAGTTTGGGAGACTTGAATAGATGCGGGAGTCAGTCTGCCATGGGAATTGGGCCTAAACCTTACTACCATGGCCAGAAAAGCCAGCCCAGCTCCAGAATATGGAAGCAGAGTCTAGACACATTCTGTGTCAAATGTGGGTCAGTGCCCAAGACCAGACATTCCAGCAGATAGAGCGCCCGCCGGATTAGAAGGCCTAAAACAGCAGTATACGGAGAACCTCAGGCCCTTCTTCCCTTAGAGATGATCTCTCTCCCCTCACCTCTGCTCCCTTGCAGGATACTGAATAAATCTGCCTTTTCTATTCTCCACTGTGTGGTGAATTCTTTCACGCCTGTGTCTCCAACTGACGCCCTGAATTTACCCACAACACGTAGTTTCCAACTTAGGATGGTTCCATTTATGGTTGTTTTCACTGTACTAAGGCTTGCAAATGGTAAGCATTCATTAGAAACTGTACTACAAGTTTTGAATTAGAACATTCTGTTTTTTGCTTTCAGTGATGTAGTCAATAAATTACCAAGATATGCACCACTTATTTTAAAATAGGCTTTTGTCCAACTGTCAGCTAATGTAAGTGTTCTGAACACATGGAAGGTAAGGTAGGCTAAGGTAGGCTAAGCTATGTTTGGCTCACTTGGCACATTAAATGCGTTTTTGGCCTGTGATGCTTAACTTTTGATGGATTTACTAGGATGTAACTCCATCATAGATCAGCAAAGATCTGTAAATATTTGCAGAGTAGTTAGCACAGTGCTTAAAACTAATTCTAAATAAATAATCAAATAGTTACTATAAATTTAAACAAGTTGAAAAAATATCCGCTGCACATTTTCAGAAGTAGCTCTTAAGATAGGCCCAAACTTAGCCTAGTGGAGTATGGGTGTCTCATGGCCAACCTCAGGGACCCCCAAGGAAGTTTGCAGGTTTTTTTAAAACACTTAAATTTGATTCCATTTATTGACTTTTTATTATTGTTCATGAAACCAAGGATTCAGTTAAATCGGGAAAGGAAAAAAAGAACGTTCCATTTAAATTAATTTGCATGTGAAGCGATGTTACCGTAATTTCAGGTTTTTAGGTTTAATTCCCCAGCCAGGAAGTGACCCCATGCTGTGGTGGCTGCCCGGGTCCCACCCAGCCACCAGGCCACCAAGAGTTGGTGTCTCACCAAGCGGCATGCAGGATCTTCGGCTACTCTCAGGCAAGCAAGTAAAAAGAGGCAATTTTTTTTAGAGCCCTAGGTATGAGGAAAAGGTTATTAAGGAGAAAAGGGAAACAAAGTGGGGCTCCCAGGCCAGAGGAACTAGGAAGGGGCAAAGGAGCCACATTGGGGCTGTGACCTTCTTTTCCTAATTATGCGAAAACCCCATCAGTCTGGTTGTGATTGGTTAGTCCACGGTGGCCTCACTCTCGCTGCCTTAATGTCTCTGTACCCGGAATTACCTCTTGCTTCCCAGCCCTTTTTCTCTTATCGCCTTGTCTGGGAAAGTCCTGCTAGTCCCCACGCTCCTCAGTCCAGGGAGCTGCTGGTTAGACCCCGCTGGAATTTGCTGCCCCTATCTGGAGCCTGCCTTATCTCTCCAAGGCTTGCTTGTTCTGACCTTAGAAGGTGTCCCCCTGCCCTCTGGCTCAGTAACAACAGGCACAATCTAGGTCCCATCCCAGCTCCCCACAGTACGGCTTATGATTGCCCACAGTGACATCGTCTCTATCACCATCTTTGACATACAGACGAAGGCAAATATTCATGTTTTAGGTCGGCTAAGGTGGCTTTGTTAGTAAAACAGTTTCACAAGCACTGGCTCTGTAGGTTGAACGTTAGGAAAAAAGACATTCTCTTATTTTTTTCTTGCCAGCACAAAGGATTCAGTCCCTCTTTTCATATTCTTAATTTATAAGGGATTTGTTTCATAGTTCCTTTTGAATTTAGAGAGGACCACTTCATTCATATTCTTTCCACTCATATTATTTCCCCTCCACAGTGGGAGGGGGGAGGTTCCTTTTCAAGTCCATATACTCACGAACAGCAGGGAACTCCCTAACTGCTAGGTAGCTTTCCAGAGGCATGCAGACACATGGCTGTGATAGTTGTGCCTGAGGTAAAGTTGTGCTGCCAACATTCCAAGTCATCCAGGTTGGTTCGACCAAAGTGTCTTTTCCTTTATGCTGTAGGAATTTGTCACTGTCCATGATAGGTAGTAGGTCTGTGACTGTTTTCCCTTCTACATTGGTGAGGTGCATTCATCTGTGTCTGCCCCTCAGATCCTAAAGTTAGGATGATAGTAAAACTGCCCTTGCCTTTTTATTTTGTATTTGAGTTTATGTAACTCCTCCAAGTAATACAGTGATTCATTCAACAAAAATGTGCTGCCTGAATACATGTCTAGCAGAGGTTAAATAAGTGGGTGGGCAGATGTAAGGTTAGACTAAGAAATGGTACAATTTTTTACATGATTGCTCTCTCCTCGCCAACTTTTGAAGTATAATTTTTTTGTATCAAACCCTCTATCTTGAGATTTAATAAGCTGGTAATCTGAGGACCTCTTTAGGTCAGATTAAGCAGGCTGAATTTGCTTTGTCAAGATGCAAACGTGGTGAGGTGTTTGCACACGGAGGTACTCAACAGTCATTTAGTGTCATGTGCTTATGTTTTATGCTAAGGTCCAAGAGCATGCTCTTGCGTGATACGGGTTTCTACTCGACTGTCAACTCCTTGAAGCCAGAAAAGAGATTCCATTTTTGTAATCTCAAAGCTTGACATAGCCTGGTTTATTGAACATTACTGTGTCATCAGTGAATGAGGCCGACTGGATTAGGCTCTTAAGTCTCAGCATCTCTCCAGACTCCTTGAAAACCATTGCTTGTCCAATCCATGGAGGCTTGGCTAACTTGGGAGTGAAAGGAGGAGGCTGGGTCTATCACACTAATCCTAGATAACCCTTAAAAGTCTTTTCAGAATCCTGTAGAAAAAAAGCCCTACGATTTGATTCAGACTGTCTCAGACAGATTCAAATCCTCTTTCAGACTCATGTTTCAATCACTTGCAACTTTGGGCTCTGCACTTAGCTTATACGATTTGTAAGATTTGATAAGCAATGAATGAGGTGAGGTACTTGGCATAGGATAGGTATTAAGGAAACACTATTTTCTTTCCCTTGCCCACTCTCATTTTGCTCGTAAGATTGCCAAATATTGGCTGTCAGTGCAGAAATATTTGATCATGTCTTGGACTGATTATTTCTAGGTTTCTAAAAGATGTTAATACCAGTTAGTTCATGTGCTTGTTGTACGGATCAATGAGGTAATGTATGTGATGTGCCTAGTGTGACTGGTGCTGTTAGCTGATGTTTCCATTGTGTGTGGGTCTATCCACCATGGGCTATCAAGCAGTTGTTTGAGAAGTCACCAGATGATGATAAATGGCGTTTTGTGAACTTTTAGCTGGGGGTGGAATGAGTTACCTTCGCATCCTTTCCAGAGAATCAGTCGCCAATTCTTTATGGCCAGGAATAGTGTAAGTTTGTTAACACTGATCAACCTTCCTCTGTTCTTCCCATAAAACCCCCTAACTTTATCCTTCTCTGGGACACAGTTTAGGTTTCCTACCTAAATCCATTGCAATTCATTGATCCCAAATAAATGCACCTTGCCTTTATAATGGCCTCCAAAAATTTTAGCTTAACACTTTTTTCATTGACTCTCTTAAAAAATCACTGTGAAGGTGATTTTGATTTGATTTGATTATTGCTTTGTTTTGGTATTATGGTGTGATTACACTTGATGTTTTTCTATCTGGTACCCTAGTGTACATCACTAGTAATTTACTTGGAGTCAACTCCTTGAAGTGAGATTATTGAGTCAAAGTGTTACAGGGCAGGGAGAGAGGGGCACCCCTGAACCCCCAAACCTGCCTGCTCTAAATAGGTTCTGCCATCTGCTGCATCAAGACAAAACATAAAGACCTTTAATGGAAAGGAACTTTAATACAATCATGTGCAATACAGCAAACATAAAGAATATAGTTTCTAAATCAAAACCCCAGAGTTACCTTTTGTGTGTAAAAGTCCACCCAAAAGGGATGGGCCCAAAGCAAAGCTCGAAAGCCTGCCACAGTCTAAAGCACCTTCTGGCAGGAAATGGCCAGACAAATGTGGGAGATAAATAGCAACTTCAAAACCAAGATAAACGCTGCTATAGTCACCTTCCCACGAGTCTCACCCGCATGTTCCAACCAGCCCATTACATTGATTACTTTCTGCCTCTCCGTGACTGCCTTTGTGTCATATTTCCTTGCCTGCCCATCAGGCCTGAGTGAGATCTTTGTTTTCGAATAGGTGGGGCCATGTCAAGGTGCAAACATACTTAGGTGATGATTATGTAGCATTTAATTCGTTCAGAAAATAAAGGCATTCAAGGTGTATTCTGTGTTCTTTTAGCCTCAAATTTGGAAGTGGATCTTGACCTGACTCTAAGCACAGGAATTAAGTGACTTATAAAAGCCACTTTAAAAAAATTGGGAAATTCCTGTCATGATAGTCTCAAGTACAAACAAAGTAATCAAATAACGACCATTGTGGTAACTTGGTTTCATCTATACATGTCACTTGCTCAAGCCTGCTATTATTTTAGTAATACAGGAATTCACATACCAATGAGCAGTTTAGTGAAGAATTATCTTCAGGAAAACAGTTTCCAACTGTTAAAAGCAAAATTCACAAATTCAGAGATCTTAGTGACTATTAAATCATTCCTGAATGGACAGCACCTGCTTAGATACTGCAAGGGCTTACTAATAGAGAGGGTGTTTATAGGCAGAAAGAAGGTAGGATGACATTATCAGTCAGGAAAAGTTGGTTTCAAGTAAATCCACCTTCTCTCAGGGCGAAGGCTGCGGTTCTTATGCAGCTGACCGCAAAGGTGCTGAGTAGGAAGCTCCAACTTGATTGTTCAGGGTTGTACTTGTGTGAGTGGTTGACACTGCCACAGGTATTAAATCCTTGTACCAGACGCCATCTTGGGTCTACTTGATTGTGCGTGTGTGTGTGTGTGTGTGTGTTTTTCTTTTCTGTTTTTAACCCACACATTAAACAGATTTTTTTTTTTGAATCCTTTTAAATTGAATGTATATTGCTGGGCCCTCCTTGGTGGTGCAGTGGGTTAAAGCACAGCACTAAGAAGCTAAAGCCACTTCAGCATGAGTTCGATCCCCAGTCCCGGAGGTGACCCACATGGCAAGCAGACCTCTCCTGACCCGCCCACTGCTCCCCTCAGCAGTGTACTTTGTAGATCTGCCTGTTCTGCTCCCCACTCTGTCTCTGGTGAATCCTCTCAATGCCCCTGTACCTCTGGCCTGTACCCCAGTTCTATATGCATAAATAAATAAATCTTTTTTAAAAAATTGAATGTATATTTCAGTGATCATTACTCAGTGATCGCAGTGAGTAATGTTTTAGCTGAAGATGTCTGAAACACATTCTGAGAACTGATCTCAAGATGTCCCAGTCCTGCATGCAGTGTTTTGACTTAAGAGCAAGGAAGACTCTGGAGAGTAAAGGACAAGCTTTTACTTTTGCCGGAGTTTTTTGCCCTTTGCTAATTTAAAAGGCGGTTTTAACTCTTAGCTCTTGCCCTTTCTTAATCCAAGGAGCAACCACTGCTTCCCCCTTTATGACCTAGAAGAATGGGGGGTGTCATCCAATGTGTCTCTGTGTTTTCCCTGAGAATCTCATCTTTTTTGCTCTGGAAGTAAAGGAGTCCATTTCTTTCCCCTCTTTGTGTCTCACCCCGCCCTTCAGGATTCGTAGTGCCTTTTCATCTAACCAATCTTGGGATATGAATAATTATTGTATCTCTCCCATGCATGTTATTAAGTTGGTTGTTTCCACCTTTGCTACACTGATGCTGTTTTGATTACTTGTCCACTCAAGAATAACCCAGCAGGGTGGGGATTTCCCCAGCGTCTTGACATAGGGAAAAGAATCAAAGTCTTGGTTTCGTAATGGAGGAAAGTTGAATTATTAATGATTAATAGTATTTGAGGACACAAGATTTGGAGACCATAAGTTTAACTTTTGGTTTCATCACTTATTAGCTGTGATTCAACCATGCCACTTCTTTATCATTTTTATTACTTTAAAAATCAGTGTGACTTTACATGATGCCTGTGAATTTGTTTCTACATGTAATTGTATTAGAAGATAAAACATATACTATTTGGGATGCAATTTGATACTTTCTTAAATCCTGCAAAGTGTTTGGTACAGAATTTCTAGAAACTTAAGATTTCAAGTGGGAAACACTGCACTTACTTCCAGCTCCTCAGGTTCACTGACTTTTGGCTTGCCCAAGTTGACAACACTGTTGTCACCTCCTGATTCAAATCATCTGACTTTTCTACTAAACCACAGACTTTCATCATTCATTAAATATAATTTATGGAAGATAAATTAAGTGTGAAACATACTAGGAACTATGGGTGATGCTGACTTATCAGCTGCACATCCTTCCCTCAAGAAATACAGGGACTAGAGAGGTGAATCAACCTTTGGGGGTGTCCCTGGTGGTCTGGGGTTACAGTATCAGCACACTACCAAGCTGTCACCTGCCACTGTGGCCTGAGTTCGATCCCTGGCCAGGGAGCTGACCCATAATGATACAGCAGACCTCTTCTTACCCTCCCACTGCTCCCTTCAGGAGTGTATTTCAGTATATCCACCTGTTCTGCTCCCCACTGTTTCTGGTGAATCTTCCCCACTGACTCCCTCACACATCTAGCCAACAACCAATTTTTGTATGCATAAATCTTAAAAAAAAAAGTAAACTTTAAGTGCACACTCAAATATTGGGACAATAATATATGAATAAACTATTCTGTGACCTGGTGAGATGGAAGACGTGACAATCAGCCATGCTCCAAAAGGTGGAAGCGATTTGCATGTCTCATGGGGTTTAAAGTAGGCAGGCTGGGATTAAGCAACTGGACTAGTAAAGGCACTGATCTGAGTCCTCAGTAAGTTCCGGGAACGTTTCATCATTTTATAACCAGGGCCATCACTCAAGCAGAGACTCTGGAACACTTGTTTCCTCTAATACCCTGGTCCTGGACACAATTCAGGTAACTTCCCAACTGACCTTGCCTGACTCCTCCCCCGCCAAGCGGAGCAGCCTCCAAAGTTCGCTCTACCCACTCTCTGGGCTCTTCAGACCCATCTCTGTTTTATCTCTTGGTGCCCACAGCCCTGCTCACGCTTCAGGTTTTGAGACAATAGGACTACGTGCATCAGTGCGTTCGAATCTGAAGCGAGTGCCAAGCACGTAATTGTCTAACCATTTTGGATGACGGAGACAAACTCCTTGCATAGCTTTGTTCTCTGGCAGACGCCCGCCCACTCGCTCTTCGGGACTCGGCGGGGAAGTCACGTTTTCCAGGTGCCGGCAGATTTTTCTACCACCTTTTACACACGCTAGTCACGGCCCCCAAAGACTCTGACTCATCCCCTGGCCGGCCGGCGGGCCCCCAGTGGATCTCCATGCGTGCTCGGGAATGACGGCAACTGTCCGACTCGAGGAGGCGGGCTGCCTGGCAGGGGTTCCTCGAACCCAGCTCCACCTCTCCGGGGGTAGGATCCCGACCGCTGAGGCAGGGCCCGGTGAACAGACCAAGGGACTCGGGACACGACCCTCTGGAGCCGGCGCCTCCCCATCCACACGCCCACACCCCACACCACGCAACATCGCCCTAGCGCCTCTCGGGGCGTCGCCGCGCGGGCCGCGCCGCTCGCGATTGGCCGAACGCGCCATAGCGCCATCTCGGCCTACGCGCGGTGCGCGCTCTTATTGGCCCGCGGCAGCGGTGGGCGGGGCCGCAGGTAGGGCGCGCGGGGCGGGGCGGGATGCCGCCCTCGAGCCCCGCCCCTGGTCCCCCGCCTGGGCCGAGCCTTCTGCCTGCTGCGGCGCGCGAGGCTGGCGACGTGCGGTGAGCGCGCGGCCGTTGCTCTGGTTACTGCGGAAGCGCCGCTCGGGGAGGAAGCCACCGCCCGCGGGGGATGCAGGTGAGGGGGCTGTCGGGAGCCTTGGCCGCCGCCCTCTGAGAGCAGCTCTTGGGAGGACGCCGGTCCCGCGCAGGGAAACGGAGTCCGGGACGGGAAGGTTCGGGGGCCGCTGAATCGGGCGGCGCTGGGAGGAGAGTCTCGAGGCGCGACCGGGTGTTCCCCGCCCTGGGGCCGCAGGCTTGAATCCGAGGCCATCTTGCTGGAGAAGGCCTCCCGGGAGGTCCCGGCCGAGCGTGGGCGCTGCAGCTCGCCCCGCCGGCGGGAGAGGACGCTCGTTGTGCGCTCGCCACCCGGCCAGGGCATCGCCGGCGGAGGACGCGGGGCCGGCTGCCGGTATTTCTTTGATACCCACCCCTCACCCCCATCTCCTTCTGAAGGGCACCTGCTGCTCGTGAGAGGCGAGTGCATACAGCACGAGAGCCAGCAGCAACACTGCCAGCATCACCCGCGACGGCCCCTGCGCCACACCTGCCCCCCGCCCCGGAGGGAATGAATGGATTGCCGGAAAGACGGGCGCCGAGTCGGGAGCTGCTGGAGGAGGCGGCTTCTTAATACTGCTTTCTGAGTCCTGGACAACTTTCTTCCGTCTGATACTTGTATACTCACTTCATATGGTTTTGTACATGGGTCTGATTTGAGCTGTAACCTCCTGACGGTCATTACCTGCGTTTGGCCAGCCCCTCTTGGTTACACATCTCGGGGGGGAAAGAAGCTCTATAAATCCCCCAAGCCCTGCAGAGGACCAGGGCTCCCCCCCCTCGACCCCGTGTCGCCGAAGGAGACTTTGAGCCATGTGGACTTTTCTTGGCATTGCCACTTTCACCTATTTTTATAAGAAATGCGGGGACTTAGTCACTTTGGCCAACAAGGAGCTCCTGCTGTGCGTCCTGGTGTTCCTTTCGCTGGGCCTGGTGCTCTCCTACCGCTGTCGCTACCGAAACGGGACCCTCCCCCGGCGCCAGCCCAGCAGGTCCCAGTTCGCTGTCTTTGATGTCCTGTCGGCCTTGCCTTTCATTGGCTTCTTGTGGGCCAAGTCCCCACCTGCATCAGAGAAGAAGGAGCAGCTCGCATCTAGGAGGGTACGTTGAATCCATAGTGGACAAATGAATGCCTTATTTTAAGTGGGATTGGAGTCACAAATATGCTTTTTTTTTCTTTTTTAACGGGACAAAGGGTAGTAATTTCCGTACTCTGGTGTGAATTCTCATTTAGTTTTTCTTAAGCTCTTGACTTTCATGGTCCCATCCTTGGCACTCTGAGGAATGATTGGAAACGTTTAGCCTCAGTTAGTATTGAAGTTGATTTAATTCTGAATAGTGCTTTGATGTTTGAAAGGTGACATGAAATGTTAGAATTTCATTTTGAAGGACATTCCCATCACTTTCTGTGATGGGAAACATTATTTAAATCCTTGCATAAGGATTGTATTCGTGCCTGGGAAGGAAAAACAAAACAAAAAAACAACAAACCACAGGTAAGTCTCCAGCTTTGAGAGGTTGGCAGAGTAAGTTCAGCAGTGAAGCTGGGCAGAATGCCCTCTTCTCTCCCACATCCATGGCCCTTGAGTAAACGAGTGCAGCAGTGTCTTAAGTAAATTATGTCCACACTTCAGTCATGTTTCTGCGTCAAAGGCTGACTTTCAACTATATGTGGAGGTTCTGCCTCTGTAGAGACAGCAGTGGAGGGATGCCTTCGGTGTCTGGGGCCTTTCCCCTGGGAACACTGGAGGATTTTAAGCATGTGCGTAACAGTATTTGATTATTACTTTTTAAGACATATTCCCGTCGTGCCCTGGAGAATTGATTATAGGGCTGTTAAGATTGGAAGCAAGTTTATCAGCCAGGAGACTGCTAGTGGCAGCTGGGGGTGATAGTGATTTGGAGTCTGAGGAATGGCCCAAGAAGTCATGTACTCTCCATGGGTTCAGATTTGTATCACTGTATCTGCAGTAGAATTAGCAAGCCTTACACAGGAGAGGTCTAGTGTGCAATTTTTACCACTTCTGGTTTAGCAGGGAAATTTTATGAAGGACAACTGATAAAAAATGGCCAACGTGACGAAACAGGCATAATTGCTTTCAGAACAGTCATTTAAGTAGAATCAGTTCTGACCATGATGAAATACTGATCAGGAAGACTCTACTGTCCTTTTGGCAAAAGTCAAAACAGCAATTTCTCAAACAGATAAAAGGATTATGTAGCTCCCGGTCTGCGCACTGGGAAACTTATGAGTGTTGGAATCACAGAGAAATTTCTAAAGCATTTAGGGTTTATCTCCTTGTTTGACCTGAGGTCTTTCAAAATAGCATTTGGTTTTAATCATTAAAGTCAGAGAACTCAAGGAAAATGCTTCTTTGCAACTGTGTATTTGCACAGTGTATTGACACTTGTGAATATTTAGTACAGCATTGAATTTTCCTTTAGAACAAGTCCACAGACACTGTCATTCTTGGTGGGAATACAGCTCTCCTATGAGGACCTTTTTATCTTCTGATGATGAAATTTAAAGTATTTACACTCTTGCCCAACTAGTGGTAGATAATGTTTGTCTTTATTCCTATTAGACCAACTTTTCTTCATGAGGATCAGGATGGGGAAAAAGGGAAGGGAAAATTAAATATGTTTTGATATATATGTTAAGACTGTGAACAGGTCAGATTACAAGGGACAGACTAGTGATTTTGTTACTTTGGAATTTTGTTGAATTTAGCCATCCCCAATTAATAGGTAAGAACCAGGATTTGACAGTCTTGGTGACATGATTTTAGATGAACGTAGAATTTTCACCTGAAAATCTCAAAGGAGGAAATGAATTGTGGGAATATCTCAGAGATGCCTGGAGAGCCTAGAACATAAAGTCAGATCAGAAGTTGTATGTGATCTGTGTCTCATGGATGTGTGTCTTTGAAGGCTTGAGTAATGAATGATCGAATTTTCCCTGTAATCAATCTTTGAAGCTCCTTATAGACATTTTTTTCTTTAAATTTCCTATTGTGGTAACTGTTGGCTTACTTTGTAAATATGATATTTTGGAAGTTATAATTATTTTTTACATGTGGGCTGGTATAGGTTTCTAAATAGGACTGTATGATATCATTTTCTATATGTATTTGGAAAATGGAACACATTTTTAATCGTATTGGGATATTATATACTTTGAATTACATGTTGTTATCCTTAATTTTTATATATCATCTAGATTTTAAAATGCAGCAGCTCATTTGGTTTGACAGTGTCTAGGATGTAGCTTTGTCCAAGATGCAAAATTGTCCAGTGTGTGGTGGTGTGATTTGAGATTAACCATGCGGATACATAATTCTTGTTTTGTAAACAGTGCAGAAAAGGAACCAGTACTTCAGAAACAGCCTTCGCAGGGCCCACTGCCTCTCCAGCTCCTGCTTCGCAGCATGACCCAGAAGTGATCATCGTGGGATCTGGGGTTCTGGGCTCTGCTTTGGCGGCGGTGCTTTCCAGAGATGGCAGGAAGGTGACGGTGATTGAGAGAGACTTGAAAGAGCCGGATAGGATACTTGGAGAATTTCTGCAGCCTGGCGGTTGTCGTGTCCTGAAAGAGCTTGGTCTTGAAGGTGGGTCCGCGCTGATGTTTTAGGAACTGTGTGGTGTAATAAGAAAGCGCTCATTTTTAGGCTGTTCTGTGATGGGTAAAAATAGCTTCCTTGTTATTTTCACTTATGAGAGTTTTTGTATTTCTTTACCAGCAATTTGGCATATAAATGAGCACAAAGGAGAAAGCGAGCCCTGAGTAACATGAGGAGATACGGAGTAGACTTAGTGAGCTAGGAAGAGGTACTGTCCTGGTCGAAATTAAGGACTAGAAAACTAGAATGAATGAAATGAAAACTAGAATGAACTCTACCCCTATGTAGAGTGCGTGTTCTGTGCCTGCAATGACACCTTTATCCAAGCATCATTCGTCCAGTAAACCAATGCTTTTGAACACTTCCTGTTGAAATGTTTACTCGCTGTGTACTGTGTGTGTGGTGCATTCCTGGTGTGGAAGATATACTGGTGAACAGGGCAGATGAGCTGTTCACTCTTGAGGATCAGAGTACAAAATATTCCCTGGCTGAACTGAGAAAGAAGAGCTTACTTGGCACGTGTGGTAGGCCGTGTAGCATAATGATGATGAGCATTGCTTCTGGAACTAGATTTGAGCACCAGCTCAGGCATCTAAAAAGCTGCATGACCTTGGCAAAGTTACTTAACCTCCTGTATGTATCAGTTTCCTTGTGTCAAAAGGGCATGCTTAGGGCCTTTTGCCTCATAGCTAGTATGAGGGTTAAATGACTCCATATACACAAAGCATTCAAACAGTCATGGTATGTAGTAAGGATGAAGTATGCTTGCTACTTCATCCAGGAACGGAAAGGGAGCTGTATAGCTATGAAGGTATGGTGGGAGCGCGGAGGGTGGCTGGAAATTACGGTTGGAGAATTGTGCGGGACTGTAGACTCTGGAGCAGGAGTGTGACATGATCTTGTTAAGCTCTGAAGTGACTAATGCTTTTGACTGACTGCCTCTCAGAATAACAAATGCATTTTAAATCTTGACTTAGCACATACACGCGTATATTAGCCTGATTCAAATTTCTTTGTTTTACTTTTAAAATATTTTAAATAATTAGCAACTTGAAATTCATTTCCCACTTTACCACTGAGCCACACCCTGCGACTCCTCCATTGCTGTTTGAAGGGAATGTGTGACTACAGCATGGGCAACGAGCAGACTCTCAAGACTGCAGCATTTGGGAGGCGGGAGCTGACGCAGGCACTCATTGCTGAGTCCCAGTGACAGACCCTGGTGGCTTGGATGAGCCTGAAAGAGGGGTATAGAGACAAGAGGAGAGATTCTGGATAACATTAAGAGAAAGAAAGTGGCATGATTTGAAGGATTGGTGTGAGATGCGAGGAAGAGGGAGGTGTAAAAGGTCATTCGCAGGTTTGGGTTTGATGCCACCTGCTGATAAGGAGACCTGGAGAGGGGCAGGCCTTAGAGGAACCCTGGGGGACATGGCGAGGTAATCAAGTGGAGATATGAGCTGCATGTATGAATCTGAGTGCAGAGGAATGGTTTGTGTGGGCTGGACTGTTTCAGCGAAGTCAGTATTTTTGTAGTAGTCCGACAGCACAGAATGATTGAGACCATTTGCAGAGAATGTGTAGGGAGAAACAAAAAAAGAATAAGCTAAGTTCTGGGAAGCAGCTATGTATGGGTTGGGTAAAAGAATGGAATCCTGCAGAAACCTGAGAGGGAGTTGGAAGAATGGCAGAAGGGCTTGGTGTCACATAATCCAAAAGAGGAGGATGTTTCTCTTATGAGGATGCGGATATGTGTAAAGAAAGGACAGGACAGGTGTGTCATACTTTGTTTTTGAAGGGGTCAAGTACACGGATATAGAGCAGTGACCACTGGATTTGGCAACTGGGACATTGACAAGATGTTTCAGTGGAGTTGTGGAGACAAAACCGATATGAGTAGGAGAGTTAAATATTTTGACACTAGGAAACTACTTGAGTTTTTCTCTGACTGAAAATAGACAAGGGAGTAGCGCAGTATAGATGTGAAGATGCTGGGACATGTTTGTGTGGTGATGGAGCTGATAAAGCAGACAGGGAGGAGCTGGCATGCGAGAGAAGGGAGTGACCAAAGGTGTGACGAGCAGAGGCGCTGAGCACGCTGCAGGAACTGGTCTTGACGCGAAGCTTACAGTAGTGAGCAAAGCACAAAGATTCCAGCCCTCGTTAAGCAGACAGTCTAATGGATGGTGTGGAGGGTGGTGATTAAAATTAATAACTACAATATAGAGTCTATCTCAGGGTTTTAGGGGCTTTCGAGAAAAATAGGAAAAGGGAACGGATAGTTGAGGGGGCTGTGTGAATGTAAATAATGCTTTGGGCAAGGGAAATCTTCACTGAGAAGATGACATTGGAATTCAGAACAGAAGGAAGTGCAGAATTAGCCAGAGGGGCTGTCTGGAGAAAGAGGGATTCCAAGTCCAGATGGCAGGAAAAGCCTGGGAGAGAAGCTTGGGGGAGAAGTCTGGGGAGAGAAGTCTGGCCTCTAAAGTGAGAGGAGGGAGACGGGGTTTCACTGGGAGGGAGGGTGAGCACTAGTGAATAAAAGCTCCAGACTTGTGAAGACAATAAAAATACTTGGACTACTACTTTTTGGATTTAGACTTAGAATACAGACTGACCCATCCTGGAATGTGGGTTTTTAATAGGGGAATTTTCTGACCTGTGGCTTAAGGTTATATCTAGAACTCTTAAGTAGAATTTAAATGCTCTATCTTTTTATATTAGATCTCAGTATCTAGTGGGAACCTTCTATTCCACCTTATTTTCTTTAGGACTGTTTTGGCTTTTATTGGCCTTTTTGCTTTTCTATGTTATTTAGAATTAGTTTGTCAATTCCAGGAGGGAAAAAATAGCACTTGTCAAGATTATGATGTAGGTAACACTAAACCTGTCACTGACTTGGAAGGCTGGTTCAGGCTTCTCAACCACAAATGTGGCTGCTGTGTAGTTCGGTCTTTAACTTACCTCAGCGGCTTCCTAAGTCTTGTAGGTGTTCTGTTATAGTTATTTCTGACTTGAGGTTATTATTTGGCTTTTAGAGATAATTGAATACTCAGTTTGAGGCTCAGACGTCACACCACATATTTGCACAAAGTTGTGTTTTCATTTTTTCCCTCAGTTTTATAACCGTTTGATAACAGACTGGGTCTTGCCCACACTGACTGCAGACTTGACGCCGTGACCAGTTCACAGGGCGCGGTGCACCAGCTTGTTTGGTGACTCGTCACCCTCCTTACTTCTTCTGGACCACCGCTCGCGAATACGGGCCGCTGAGTCCCTGACTCCTTTGCCCACCCTGAGCTGGGTGTCGGTGTGCGCATCTTGGGCAACATTTCCTTTATGACCGATTTCCAGATCTCTTTTGGGGGTGGGTGGGGGTCTGTTTCTTCAGGTCCACTCCATGCGGTGCTCGTGAACGTTCACGGTGTCTTCTCTGGTCACTACCTTGTTGGTGGCCACACAGCCCTGCTCCCATCCCTTCCCCGAGCCTCTGCCAGGCCCAGGGTGAGATATGAGGAAGAACACGGGAGAGCTGGAGGTGTTGAGGGAGAGCTGCTTTCCTTCCTGCCCGAGACCCCTCAGTCCACTGTGCTGGCTTCCTTGCAGCCCTCAGGGCGTTGAGTTTTCCTGGCCTTACTGTATTGAGAAGTTCTGGCCGGAGCGCCAGTTCTGGTCTCTTGTGCGTGGGGCTAGAGGGAGCCCACTGTCCAGGCGGGGCCTCAAAGCTTGGACAGTGTTTCTTGTTTTGTTCCTATGGAAGAATGCTTCCCATGGCATTTTTATGATATGTTGACCCATGGTCTGGTGTCACAGATGTGGAGTTTTATGACCACCAGAAACAGTGTCAGTGGCTGGAAAGTGAAGGCCTAGTGTTTGCGAAATCAGGAAGTGTCTGAAATTGAGGGTATTGTCCTTCTGCCTGCCTAAGAGAGTAAAGTTGTCTAAAGCTGTCGTATATGATTTCATCAATAAAATATTGAGACAGATGTTTCGAGAAATAGTAGACTTCATTTTTATATGCCTGAATTAAGGTAGTCTACCCAAGGAAGTATTTCATCCTGCTACTGCCCTTTCTACATTCTGGTTTGCTCTAAGTTGGTTCACTCTAGCATAAAAAATACTCCTACAAATAGTTAGAAGTCAAGAAAAACAAGTTGTCTGAGGAGATGTACAAAACGTTACGGAAATCCTAGTGGGCTTCAGGCAGGTAAGTCAGTGTAAATTGAGAATTTCACTAGGTCCTAATTGGCAGCTTATAGGATATCTCCGTATTTCTCTCTGAGTTTTAACTGTAATACTTAGAAACGGCACCAAAAACTGAATTTATTTTGAGCCTAGGTCTGATAGCTTGTTCCTGACTGGACTTTAAATATAAATGCAAACATTAAAATCAAACTTATTTTGATCTTAGCATAGACGTGTGATAAAATTACTATGAAGTTTTCCTTTTATCACAAGTGTTTTATATTTCATCTAATATATTTTAATGTATTCAGATAGGGTGAATATCTTCAGTGAACTTCTAAGACTAAGATTAGTATTTCAAGAGACTAATTTCTTTGTGGGTTGTGTAACTATTGTTATGGTTATTTTCTAAAATGTTATACTTTTTGGTTTGATCAGTGATACATAAATTTATCAGTTTTATCATCATCTCACCCACAACTTTCATAATAATGGTATATAGCTTACTGTTTTAATTTTATTAAACTGATTTTTTTGAATCAAGTTTTGCTCATTTTCTCTGGTACATTCAGTATTTCCATATTGCTTAATGTGAGTCATCCACAAACTTTTCACACACTGTTACTAAGCTTTTAACATTTTCCTATGGAATTTAAATACGTAAAAGCATAAGTTAATCTTTGGTAATATTACACATTGGCTAAGATTGTTATTTTCCAGAAGCATTAAGATTTCTGGAATAGTCACATTAATGTCCAGCTCTCCAAATGTATCACAGCTTTTAGGAATCATCACTTTTAATGTTTCCACACTCCCTTGTGCCTAGTATAACTCTGAGCATCTTACAAGTTAATGTTTTTGTACTGAATTGTTTGCAGATACAGTGGAATGTATCGATGGCCATGTTATAAATGGCTACATCATTCATGACATGGAAAGCAAGTCAGAGGTTCAAATTCCTTTTCCTCTGTCAGAAAACAATCAAGTGCAGAGTGGGAGAGCTTTTCATCATGGAAAATTCATCATGAGTCTCCGGAAAGCAGCGATGGCAGAACCCAAGTAAGACCACAGCTTCAGAGGCGGATTGTTGAAACACATTTAAACTTGACCTTTGTGCAGATGCTATTTTATAAATATTCATAATGTTGGGTATAGTTCAGAACATCGATACTGTATGAAAGCAAACCATAAGTTAGAAGAATGTTAGCATGTCAGTGCCTTTGTTAAGAAGAACATGTTAAGAAGAGAGAATGTTTGTTAAGAATGTTTTGTTAAGAATGTTTGTTAAGAAGAGAGAATATTTTGAGTGTTGATATTTGCGGTTAAGATACTTGGGCACAGGACTTCAAAGGAAAATCCCTGTTCTAGTCTTACTAAGGACTTAGCTGACAGGATTCACTTCTTTTCATTATTAACATACTTGCTTCTAGTCTTAATGTGTTATAAACGAAGAAGTTTGTTATGTCACGGGCAAAAGCTTGAATGAAGAAGTGGGTTACAGGGCAGCCCAGAGTGAACTTGGGCTGCCTGTCTGTGGGTCCTCACCCATCCCCCTCAACAGGTTTACCCTAGAGAAGGAAAGGGTTCGTTATCGATGGAAGTAGTGTCTGTTCATTGCAGAGATATGGGAAGATACTTAAAAGTATAAAGAAAATTGTAAAAATTATCCATGGTCCTTCTGACTACAATAGCTACTCTGAAGTTTAGTGGTTAAACTCCAATTCTGGTTTCTCATCTGCATATGAATATATCATTCCTTTCTTCTTTTGCTCTCATGTGCTACTATAGAATTTATTTATCTTTTAGCACGAAGTTTATTGAGGGCACAGTGCTTCAGTTGCTAGAGGAAGATGATGCCATTGTGGGAGTTCAGTACAAGGATAAAGAAACTGGAGACCTCAAGGTAAGACCTTAATAGTCTTTTCTAAGAGATTCTTCTCCTTTGTCTCCTATACTTTTAAAAAAAAAGTAAGCCGACCAATTTACTATTCTTTAAATGGATTGAGTTCTCTCTTAAGTCCTCTGCAACAGGATGGATTTCAGATTGCAACACTTTGTTCTTTAGAGCACCTTGAATGCCATGTTTAAAAAAATGCAGAAACAAACACCATGCACTATATTAGCAGAATTAAAATCTGACACAAGAAATATACACTAGCAGAGAAGCAGGTAAACTAAATGGTGAAAAAAGGAAGGATTCAACATAAATAAATGATTATGATAAAATAAAATTAAAAGGCAAAGGTAAGAGACTCTCTGGGGAAAAAGAATAAATATTTTCCAATATGTGCTGGAAAGAATAAGAAAGAATAAGAGAAAGAATCAAAGGGTATACTGCTCTACAGGGTGACCCCACCTACAGACTGTAATCTAGTGGGGGTAAATGCAAAGTCATACAAGTACATATGTCCATGTCTACAAAAATTCTAAGCCCTAGCGACTGATTGAAAGCATTATGTGATGTTAGAAAGTTCTAGAAAAAAAGGATCTGGCTAATCCTTGGAATTTGTCATGAGATCAGTCCTCTTTGGTCCACATTGTTGCTTTGTAGTTGTTTCCCCTGTTCATCAAAGTGTAACCTATCCCATGAGATTTGAATAGTAGAGCTTTGAGGCAAGGTGACCCTCAGGGACTTGGACAGAACGCCTCTGAAAATGGGCCTTGTGCTAACTTGAAGCCCACACCTTCAATGGTGTTATCTTCACATACTCTCTGTAGTGTTGTTTGATACTCTTTAAATTTGTTCAGGTACATTGTAAAAGAATGTTCTTTTTCTATGTATTTTAACTACTTGGCACTGTCTTTTAGGAACTCCACGCTCCACTGACCATTGTCGCGGATGGCCTTTTTTCCAAGTTCAGGAAAAACCTGATCTCCAATAAAGTTTCGATTTCATCTCATTTTGTTGGCTTGCTTATGAAGGTACTATAGAAATGTAATTGAAACAAAATAAGGCTACTTGAAATTTGAGAGTTATTAGAGTATTTGTTTTTTTCCTAGGATGTACCACAGTTTAAATCAAATCATGCTGAACTTGTTTTAACTGACTGGGGGCCAGTTCTCATCTACCAGATCTCATCTAATGAAACACGAGTGCTTGTTGACGTTCAAGGAGAGTTGCCAAGGAATTTAAGAGAATACATGGCTGAGAAAATTTACCCACAGTTACCTGGTAAGAAATAGGATTTCACTCCATTGTAATCTCGAGTAAGAATACAAATCTCACTATATGAAAAGAAAATTTATTTGTTATACAAGTAGAAGCACAAAAAAAAGGGCTCTCCATCTCCAGTTTTTAAAACTGTCTAAATTAATCCAAAGATTTAGAGATGAAATCTGATGCGATCAATCAGATGCTGCCCTGGAGCGAACAATTTAAACTAACACTTTTAAAAAGCAATCCCCGAGTTAGAAAAATTAGTTTCAATATATTTTTTCATACTTGTAACTAAAATATAGTTTTCAGGATAACTGTTACTAGTGGCATATGTGGTGTCTCTCAAATACTATGTTATTCCAGATCTGTAGCTAATGTCTGAATCCTTGAAATATCACTTCATTCCTTATGCTTGTAGAAATGAGAGTTAACACTTATTGAACTTCTACTGTACAAAAAGGTGCTTTGCAAACATAATCTCATTTAACTTACATAGCCATCCTGTGAGGTAGACATTACCATTATCCTCATCTTACAGATGAGAGAACTAAGATTCAGGAAGGTTACTTAGCTTCTCCAAGGATAAATCATAAGTAACAGAATCAAGATTGAAACTAGGTCTGTGATTTCTACATCCCTCAGAACGTGAGAACTATCAGGGACTTTAAAGATGGTCTTAAATACAGAGAGACTTCATGAGGTTTTAGACATTTTGGTAAATCACTCCCAAAAATTATTTATTTATTTATTTATTTTGAGAATAGGAAATGATAAATAAAAAGAAATAGGAAAAAGTAAGCCTTGATGAAATTGGTACCCTGCTTGCTAATTATAGGTTTATAGTGATAGGAATCTGTCCTTTGTATGAGTCTGTTTTGTTTAAAATACTGTTTGTTTTTTTTTTGTTACTTCTTTAAAATACGCTAAAGCTTATTTTACTTTCATAGCTAAAAGAGCATTAACAGGAATGAAGGTACACTTAGACCAATTTAGATTTTCAATTAGATTTTCAACATTCCAATACATTTTTACTCAGCTGAGCCATTTTTGAAATTTTGAGATGGAAAAATGAGTTACAGATATTTAGGAAAAGGATAGTCAAGAATATATTTTTACCTTTTGCTGTAGGTTGTTTTGTTTTAATCCAGAAGCTAACTGAAGCAGACTGCCTGACATCACGGAGGGAAGCCATTTGTGTGTTATATTAGTTTTAGGGTACTAGGCTTCTCCTCCTCATGGGAAAGGGAGTTTCAGCACAGGATTCTGCTTTTGTAGTTCCAGATCAACTTAGGAACTATCTGAAAAGGAAGTTTATCTGTTACACAAGTAGAAGCACAAAACTTGAAATTGGTTACCTCAGTTTTATTTTACAATGGAACTGAAGCTCAGAAAGGTAGAGCTCTCTGCATCTTACCTTGTTCTGCCCATAACCCTGTTTGGGAACTGGTGGTATACATCACTTTATTACCAGAATGTGGTGGTGGCAATAGTTGCATGTTAAATGCTAAATATGATAATTGTCAGTTAACAGATGTGGGGAATTTTTCTCCCTGTTTTATCTCATCTGAATTGGCTTAGCTTTTTTCTCTAATTTTTTTAAATTCAGCTGTATGTGCATCTATTCCCTTACAGATTCTCTTGGGTTCCTTAGTCATTCCTTAGCATGAGTAACTTAGGCCTAGATGAACAATCATTCATACAGGAAATTAGCTGCTGGTTTATCACAAAGGTTATATGTGACAGCTGTAACAGGGTACAGCAGGCATTTGTGTACACTTGATAAGAAAATATAACGATTTGAAATGTTGTAAACCATTTATTTGGTGGGGCGGATTTTTCTTGCAGAATACCTGAAAGATCCTTTTCTAGAAGCCGTTCAGAATTCTCGTTTGAGACCTATGCCAGCAAGCTTCCTTCCTTCTTCACCAATAAATAAACGAGGTATTACTTTATTGGATTTATTTTTTAAAT